GGATTTTGATGTTGCTGCTGGTGATGACGTTGGCGATTACGATGACGATGATCATGCCAATGATGATGACGACGATGACGATGACGATGACGATGACGATGACTATGACGACGATGACGGTGATGATGATTATGATAATGACGACGATGCTAACGATGATGATGCTGATGATGCTGAGGACGATGATGTTGATGCTGATTATGATGATGATGGTGATGAAGATAATGATGAGGCTGACGACGAAAATGATGATGATGAGGATGATGATGGGGATGGTGATGATGAAGATGAGGAAGTTGATGATAATGATGCTGCTGCTGCTGATGATGATGATGATGATGATTATGGTGGTGGTGGTGATGATGATGATGAGGCTGATGAGGATGACACTGATGATGGTTATGAGGATGTTGAGGATGAGGATACATATAATAGTGTGGACGAGGGCGAACATGAGAATGAGCATGAGGACTCTGAGGATGAGGACGATGATGATGATGATGATGATGATGATGATGATGATGATGATGATGCTGATGCTGATGATTATGATCAGGATGATGATGACGAGGACGATGCTGATGATGCTGATGATGATGATGATGATGATGATGATGACGTTGATGATGCTGATGATGCTGATGATGATGACGATGCGGATGAGGATGAGGATGAGGATGAGGATGAGGATGAGGATGAGGATGAGGATGAGGATGAGGATGAGGATGAGGATGATGATGATGATGATGATGATGATGATGATGATGATGATGATGATGATGATGATGATGATGATGATGATGATGATGATGATGATGATGATGATGATGATGATATGGTGGTGGTGACGATTCTGATGCTGACGCTGACGCTGACGCCGACGCTGACCCCGACGGCGACGGCGACGGCGACGGTGACGGCGACGGCGGCGCCGACCGACACCGCCGAGGCCGCCGACGCCGCGGCCGACGGCGACGGCGGCCGAGGCCCCACCCCGCGCCGCGCAGGCTGGTGGCCTGGGCGCCCTGAGCGGCCTCGGCGGCCTCGGCGCCTCGGCGCCCAGCGCCTCGCAAGCCACGGGAGGCCTTGGCGCGCTCGGCGGCGCGCTCGGGGCGCTGGGCGCCTCGCTGGGCTCCTCGTTCGGCGGCCTCGGCGGCGGCGCCGCGCCTGGCGGAGGACTGCCGGCCGCTGGCTGCCCCTCCAGATCTCGGACGACCAGATTTTTCCCAACCATGCTGTGGTGTTGGTTCCTCGTTGTGAAGAGACAGCGCCCCGCGTCTCTCCTTTCTCCTTTCTCCGTCCTCCTCCCGCTTCTCCTTCCTCCCTCCCCTGCCTCTGCCTGCGCGTGCCCATTACGGCACACCCCTTACATGTTTCGTGGTCCCATATGGAGCTACACCGAAGCCCCCAGTGGCAGGGTTCGCATGCGGCTCCCCGCCCACCGCATGTCCATGTCGGCACACCCCTCACACGTTTTGCGGCCCCCTTAGGGAGCTCCACCGAAGGCCCCAGTGGCAGAGTTTACATGCGGCTCCCCGCCCACCGCATGTCCATGTCGGCACACCCCTCGCACGCTTCCTGGCCCCATAGGGAGCTTCACTGAGGACGATACTCACACCTGCGTTACTCACAACTGCGAATTGGTGGGTCCTTTGCCAGGATAGTTTCATCCGGCGATTTTTTCCTCGATTTCGCTTGAGGGGCCGCTATGGGGCCCGGGAACATCAGCATTGGATCCGGGCCGTAAAGCTGGCCCAGGGGAGCGGGTCGGGATCCTTGGGCGGATTGAAAAGTCAGATCGCCGGATGTCCCATGTTGTCTTTGCCGCCGACGACGAAGACGTCGACGACGACGACGACGACGACGACGACGACGACGACGACGACGACGACGGCGGCGGCGGCGGCGGCGGCGGCGGCGGCGGCGGCAATGGCAGCGGCGGACGCGGCGGCGGCGACGGCGCCGCCGCCGCCCCAGGCCTCCCAGGGTCGAGCCTCGAGGATCGAGGTTTCGCAGCGTCTTTGGGGGCCTGGTTTGGGCCTCCGGGGGCGCGGTATCCCCGGGGAGCTCTGGCCGGGAAGGCCCTCCGGGAGAGGTCCGGGGGTCTCGACTCCGAGGCCCGAGGCTCGGCTCTCTCGCGGCTCGAGAAGCCTCTTCAGGAGGGAAAAATCACAGACACAATTCATCTTCGATTCCCCAGAAAATATGGGAAAATATGGGAAGTGGGGGGGAAGACAAAAACCCAGAAAATATGGGAAAATATGGGGAATCTTTTTATTTGTGTGTATTTATTTGTGTGTCCCAGGGCCCCTTCAAAACCGCGCCGCCGGGGCCGTCCAGAAACGAATGAGGATAACAAGCGGGTCCCAAGAAAGCGGCTGATAGCTCCAGGGGCCAGCGACTCAACGAAGCCAGGTCGCCAGATTCCTGTGCCTCCTGGCGCTTCCTCCCTCCTCGTGCTCCTCCTTTCTCGTCTACTGCCTTGTCGACTTCGTGTCTTATCGCCTGAAGGGCCATAGTCTCTGACGTACACAGCCACGCAACTTGTCCATCCTCTACCCAGCGGAAGAGGAGGAGTGGCGCCCCACTTCGGGGGAAGCAAGCTCCCCCGCCTGCGTCCAGCCTGGCCCTGCCATGCCTGCGACCAAGCGACGCCCCACCTGCAGTGCTCCTCCGTGGCCGGAGGTGGGCACACGGCAGAGGGGGCGGGAGGGAGGACTGCGTGGGCGGAGAGATGCTGCCATGGGCTCCACGCTGAGGAAGGGACCCGTACGGGTAGCAGGCACGCAGGGAGTTGAGAGAGGGAGGTGTGGATGCGCGCTATTAATTTATTACACATGCGCGTGTACACTTAGAGGGGCGAGAGATAGAGAGAAAGACAGATAGAGAAAGAGTTAGAGTCAAAAGGAGGGAACTTATCCCAGTGCGACCCTACCTAGGAGTTGGAGCATCTAGGAAAGCAACATCTACATCTACACCGACAGCTACATTCACATCTACACCTGCATCTACATCTACATCAACATCAACAGCGAGACTCACATCTACATCTACATCCACACCTACATCTACACCTACATCTACATCTACATCTACATCTACATCTACATCTACATCTACATCTACATCTACATCTACACCTACACCTACACCTACACCTACACCTACATCCACATCTACACCTACACCTACATATACGTCTACACTGTCGCATTGGTTTTGCGTTTGCTTTGCATGATCTGCTATGCTATGCTATGATATGCTTGGCTACGCTTTGCTATTATATGCTGTGATAATGCTGCGCTGCGCTATGTTTCGCTGCGCTAAACTATGCTAAGGTAAACTAAGCTGTGCTTCGCTATACTATGCTTTGCTGCGCTTTGAGATGCTATGCTATGCTAATGCTATGATGCGCTATACTATGCTTTGCTATGCTATGCTATGCTGCGCTATGCTATGCTATGCTATGATTTGCCATGCTGCGCTATGCTATGCGATGCTATGTTGTACAGTGCTATGCTATGTTATGCTGCGCTGTACTATGCTAAGCAATGCTATGATATGCTGTGCTATGCTATGCTGCGCTATGCTATGCTATGCTGAGCTATACTGAGCTATGCTATGCTATGCTATGCTATGCTTGACTATAGGTATGCGCAGTGCCAAAAAGGATGAAGAGGAGGAGGAGGAGAAGGAGAAGGAGGAGGAGGAGGAGGAACACATGGAGGAGCAGAGTAAACCCAGGATGCGCCACCGATGCTGCAACACACCTTCCCGCCCCATGCTCCCTCTTCACGAGTCCCGGCAGGCCTTCCCCTCCACTGCAGGCAGCGCGGAGGAGGAACTCTGAGATCCGACGTTGCCAAGAGAAGGGCAGCGTCGCGAAAGGCCACGACGGGAGCCCTGGACCCTGTTTCTCTGCGGCGTGCCTGGAGCCCAGATCGATCTGTCATGGCCCGTGGCCCCGAGGCCTGGCGACAACGCCCAGTGTGAGAAACTGCAGCGCGCGGATCTCAGGGAAACGGACGAGGCGGCAGCGGCGGCGGCGGCGGCGACGACGGCGGCGACGGCGACGACGACGACGACGACGACGGGCTCTGACTGGTCTTGACGAGTCTTGTCGGGTGCCGCGCTTGCGGCCGCGCGGCGGGCGCGCGGCGGGCACCGCGCGCGCGCGATGCGCGCAGGGCGCCCAGCAAGGCCGACCCGCCCCGCCAGCCACGCGCCTGACACCAAGACCCAAGACCTCAGGACGCGGCACTGGCAGCGCAGGTCAGCCCAAATCCTCCCTCAGGCCGCCCTGCCCCGCAGGTCGGCCACCCTCCTCTCACCCTGGTCCCCTCCACGCCCACCAGCCCTTTCCGAGCTCCTCGTCCATCTCCTCGATGGTTGGCGTCCGCCCAGCCTGGTCGCCAAGCGGAGCATCGCCGCGCGATACTCTTTCTCCTCGATGCCGACCGTTGAACCTGCACTCACGATGCGACGCCCCGCATCCTCGCGCAGGCCCTCGCTCAGCTGCTCTGTCCTCGTCCTGGCCACGTTTTTCTCCACTTGCGCCGCCGCCAAACTGCACACGCCCACGTCCATGCCCTCCGACTCCGACGTGTCGCCCCCCGACGTGGCGTCCAGATCGCCGCCCTGTGGGTCGCCCTCAGACGAGACCGCCCGCACCTCGTCCTCGTCCTCGAGCCGCCTGTCCTCGCCGAGCTCGCCGCCGTCGTCGTCGTCGTCGGACGGCTCCCACCCCGGTGACACCTCTTCCGTTTTCTGGATCTCCTGCCCCTGAATCTCCATTTCCTTGACGTCCTCGGAACCGCCCGCCATCTCCTTGAAACCGATGGGCTCCTCCGCGCACTGCTCCTCCAAGCTTCCGCCCAGGGCCTGCGCGTACCCCTCTCCCGACGACGACGACGACGACGACGACGACGACGACGACGACGACGACGACGACGACGACAACGATTGGCGGCGGCGGCGGCGGCGCGCCGCTCGCCGGCTAGGCGGCGGCACCCTCCCGGGCGGTGCGGCGGGCGCTGCGGCATCCTCCCTCGGGGGCGCCCTCGGGGCGCTGCCTGGCGCGGGCGCGGGAGCGGGCGCGCCGCCGTCGGCCGTGCCGCCATCTGCCGTGGGCCAAGGCGTGGTGCGCCCAGCCGCCGCCGCCGCCGCCGCCGCCGCCGCCGCCGCCGCCGCCGTCGTCGTCGTCGTCGTCGTCGTCGTCGTCGTCGTCGTCGTCGTCGCTGGCGACCCGATCCGCTCCGGCGACTCGACCAGCTCAGGCCAGAGGGCGTCGGCCGGCCAGCGCTCGCCAGCGGCGGCGGGCGGCGCCGCAGGCGCCCAGGGCACCCTGCACCGCGCCTTCAACTACGCGGACATCGCTGCGCACCTGGTGGCGCCGCCCACGGACCGGGAGCCCCAGGCCCGGGCCGTCCAGGTTGCCGCCGCCGCCGCCGTCGTCGCCGCCGCCGTCGCCGTCGCCGCCGCTGTCGCCGTGGAGGTGGTGGTGGTCATCGTCGTCCCCGTCGTCGCAGCAGCGGGCCTCTCGCCCCCCCAGCGCCCGCAGGCCTGCCGGGAGGCGTGCATGGCA